GATTATTTGTGACTTTATGTTAATTATTGCTATTGTTTATATTATTTTATAAAAAAGTACGGTTTAAAATTATATTGTATGTTTAGTTTTGTTAAAGATGTCGTTAATACTTCAAAATTATTGCATAAATTTAATTACATTGTTAATTTTTATTATAAATAGTTATTAATTATTATTAATTAAGTATTTAACTTTAATAAAATCCATTACAAATTGTTTTTAGTAGGTTAATAGATTTTTTATAGCTTAGTACAGAAAAAGAAAACCTTAATCGGTCAATAATTGGTGCATTTATCCTATGTATTAAAAGAAAATTTTTTAATCATTTACTTGTAAAAAAAAATTTTAAATCTTCAAATTTCTGTTAATAAGCATAACTATAAATTATTAATTTTTTAGATCATAAAATATATTGATTTTTAATTTCTTCTTTTGTCAGAAGTTAAAAAAAATTTTTTTACTTATTTATTTGCTAAAAAAAAATTAAAAATCTTCAAATTTCTGTTGATAAACATATACAGTTAGAAATCATGAATTAATTTTTTAAATCATGAAATTGATTAAATTTTTATTTCTTCTCTAAAAAATTTCACAAATAATTTTTACTAATTTATTTCATATAAAAATTTAAAAATTACTGCCAATATTAATAAATAAATTTTTTAGACAATTAAATTAATTAATTTTTAATTTTTCACATTATAGGAGCGCAATCAGTAGGATGCCGATTTAATAAGAAGCCTCAGTATCGTTATTCAGGTTGCCATTCCTACGACGAATCGGCATTGAATATAGTTCTTGGTCGGTACTTTAACCTCGACGAGTCGCGTTACATTAGTCAAGAACGCGAGTCTTGTTTTGTTGAAATAAAACCAGACGAAATAACGGAAGAATATTTATCGATAACCAGGCTGAACAATACCACCGAAATAAACCTTAAAAATATCCTCGTCGAACCTTAATATAATATAATTATTAATTAATTAATAATAATAAAAGTCCAAATAACTTACAAGCCAATTAAATATTTATTGATTATAAATAATAAATTAATTTTTAAAAAGACTCTTTTGTTTCATTTTCTTCTCTTGTCAAAAATATAACCTCATTTTTTTAAATGTACAAACAAATGGCGAACAATTTTTTTGGTGAAGACAATTTGCAGGTTAACTCATTAACGGAAATATCGCACAGGTATATAATATATATAATAATCTATATTATTAAGAGAATAAGCAAAATTTTGTGAACAGTGGATCTATATGATAAAATGGGGGTTTTTATTATTAAATTTGGTATCGTTGAAAAAGTCTTGGTCTAGAGTTGTGCCTTTTCAAGATTTCATATCGTTCTCACCGATAGTCAATTTATGATGATAAGTATTTAGGCTGCATTCAAAGATTCTCTATCTCTAGATACATAATTAAGAAATTACCTTGTATCTTGTGAACTGTTGACATTTTTAAAGATATAAGCTCATCCCGATGTTACACTCATCAAGACCTTTCATTTGAGTACCAACATCAATTTTTCATATATTGATATATGTTATATATATGTATATATGAAAAATATATCAAAAATGCATGTGGGTACTTAAATGAAAGCTCTTGATGAGTGTAACATCGGGATAAGCTTACCTTTGTAAAACTATCAATAATTAAGAAATGATCTTGTATCTTGTGAAATATTAACATTTTTAAAGATATAAGCTCATCCCGATGTTACACTCATCGAGACTTTTCATTTGAGTACCCACATCAAATTTATGAAAATGAAGTTAGCTGACATTTCAAAATTTTTATAAATTTTTTATCGAAAAAATTTCAATTAAACAATTAAAAAAAATATATCATATGTTAAAAACTTGAAAAACTATAAGTGCAATTTTTTATAAATTTTTTTTGGTTGTAATTTAATTTAAAAAAAAAAAATTAAAAATTTTTAGACGTCTGCTAACGTCAGTGTCATTCAAATTTTCATATATTTTATATATTATATATATTTCACAAATACCAAATATATAAAATGTATAAAAAATACCATGTGGGTATTCAAACGAAAGGCCTCGATGAGTGTAACATCGGGATGAGCTTATATCTTTGAAAATGTCTTAATATTTAAAAAATGACCTTATATCCTGTGAACTATTGACATTTTTTAAGATATAAGCTCATCTCGATGTTATACTCATCAACACCTTTCATTTGAGTACCAACATCAATTTTTCATATATTTATATATGTTATATATATTTATATATGTATATGTGAAAAATATATCAAAAATGCATGTGGGTACTCAAATGAAAGCTCTTGATGAGTGTAACTTCGGAATGAGCTTATATCTTTAAAAACTTTAATAATTAAAAAACCACAGTACAATTTAACAAAAGTCATTATCTAATCAAGCAAAATTTTATTTATTTATAGTTCACAAGTCACGGCAGTCACATATAGTGACTGCAAGGTTGCTAGTTATTTTGTTATTTAATTAAATTAAATTCATTTAATTGATAATAAAAACTATTTGAATTTCAGAGAAAGGCGGCTTATTAATCCAGCAATTTATGCCGAATCTTTGAGTAGTTTTCAAGGGGAAAATTTGGATCTTGATTTACAAAATGGTGGAGAGCTTAGAAAATGCGACTTAATCGACGGACTTGCTGGTTTGTCAGTAGAAGATCCTTGTGTTTATAATTCTAATTGCAACTCTTATAGTAATTATAACTATAACAATTACAATTATAATAAGCATGAATTATTGAATACTTATCGCTGCAATTCATTGAGTTCATTAACGTCCTCAAGACCATCGGTAAATTCTTCAAAGACTAGATCTACGCGAACAGAGCGACGCGGCAAGATTATTAATGACTTTAATGCTGAGCAAGAAGATGAAGAAGTTCAGAGGTAATTTTGTTTTAGTAATTGAAAATTGAGTTGACAATTAACCAAAAAGTAATTTTTTATTGACAGGTACTCAGTAAATGGTTACAAGGTTGTACAAATATCAACATCTTTGCCAAATTGCACTTCAAAGCGCCCTCGGTCTTCGGAAAAGAAACTAGCTTACGATCAATGGATCGAGAGAAAGAGAAGCGAACTTTTGGAACAAAAGAAGAAAATTGCGGAGATTGAAGAACAAAAAAGGATTCAGGAAGAAAAATTGCTAAAAGAAAAAGAAGAACGTGAGAGAAAAGAAAAAGAGAGTTTCGAAGCCTGGGTTGGGAAGAAAAAGCAGGATGATTTAAAGAAGAAATTGATCAAGGAAAAGGAACTGGAGATGGAAGCAAGGTTGAAGGAGATTGAGGACAAAACTGTGATTGCTAAAGAAATTTGTCTAAAGCACTGGTGTAGGAAAAAGGAGAAACAAATCGAAGGTAATTTTGAGAATATTTAGATTTAAATTGGCATTTTTTAATTAGTTTCTGTTTGAAAAATTTAGCACAGAAAAGTGAGGAGAAGTTGAAAATTCAAGAGGCTGAAGCTGATAAGAAGATGAGACTCGTGAAAAGTGTGGAAGCTTTTGAAAAATGGCGCGTTAAAAGTAAAAAGTGTCCAAAACCTGCTACTCAAGGTCTTTTACGTAAGTGATTAAGAGATAGAGTAAAGTAATTTAATAATTAACTCTTCAGCACTTGCTCAATGAGCGCGGTGCCACCTTTTTTACATTTATATGTTTTTTTTATTATTTTGGTCATTAGATTGAAAAATTTAGAATGCTTCAATTAGGCATTCTAGAAAATTTTTATGTATCATGAATTCACAGAAAAAATTTTTTTGATGAAATCAAAAATGATTTTATGATGAAGACATAGAGAAGCGGCGCCACTCGGTGCGAGTTAGTAGTAGGTAAATGACCAAACAGCCATGTTGCCAAATTTTTTTTTAGTCTATTAAGAGCCCGTGGGAGGTCGACCTTTACCCATTTGATAACCAGATGAGACCTATTTTTCATAAAATATTTTTTATTTATAAACACGCCTATGATAGTTAGCCTATCAAAAAGTGTTCATGGCTATTTTTATTTAAATTAATTTCAATCAATATTTTTTCATCACCTTCAATCTTATGGTAACCAAACAAATTTAGTCTCAACAGATAGCTTTTAAGGGGTTATACGCAATTGCAAGGCTAAAAAAAAAAAACATTTTTATACGAATTTTTTATATAGACACAGTTTTTATTTATCAATTACAAGCGATGGTTATTCAAATAGAGCCTACTTTCAAGAATACAATAGCGCGTCAATTATGTAAAAATATTAATGTGCAGCTCCTGTAAAAGATGTTCCGATCTCTACAAAAAAGGCGCTTGGCGGTGATTTTCATTTCGGCGATTTGGATTATCTGCAATCAAAAAATGTGGTGAATCCTTTTGAAGGACGAAGGAATGAGAAAAATTTTGATTTTTGAGAAAATGGCGTATATTTGTAAAAAATTTTTTGTTTTTGTTAAAAAACAATTTTCCAAATTGTTAAAAAAAATAGTAATAATTTTTTTAAATCTTATTCTTTCGTCCAATGACTGCATTAATCTATCCTTCAAAAGAATTCACCATATTTTTTAATTTCAGAATATCCAAACCGCCGAAATGGAGATCACCGCCAAGCGCCTTTTTTTTAGAGGTCGTTCGTAACATTTTCTACAGGAGCGGTGCACATTAATATTTTTACATGATTGACACGCTATTGTATTCTTGAAAGTAGGCTCTATTTGAAAGACCACTACTTGTAATTAATAAATAAAAACTGTGTCTATAAAAAATTCATAAAAAAATCTTTTTTTTAGCTTGGCAACTGCGTATAATCCCTTATCATAGAGAATACGCCTTGGTGGGCTTACTTACACTGATAAAAAAAATGGTGTGTGTACTTATGTACACGCGTCAGAAGTTATACTTCTTTGGCATATAATAAAAAAAAAAACAAAAATGATCAAAGAAAAATGTTAAAAACAATCAAATAGGTTTTATTATAGTAAAAATTTAGCTATACCGTATAAATATAAAATCATTAATTATCATATGAATTTAATTCAATATTATTAAAGATTTTTCTAAATAAACGAATTTTGGAGCTTCAAAGTATCAATAGTTTACAATCGATAATTATAAAATATTTTAATTATGAAAATTAAGTTAGCTGACTTATAAAAATTTTGAGAATTTTTTTTTTATTGAAAAAAT